TATATATATATATATATATAGGGGAACGTTCAAAAGAAAACCGTGCACTTCTAAGAAACCGTGTAAACCAATTTCGACCAATAGAAAAATTCCATTTTTTTCTAATTAAAATTAATCAATAAGGATATTTCAGTCATTTACAATATTTTCTATTAAATATGAAAGTTATTAATAAATCTTAATTAAGGAAACGTAATAAAGAAAATTGTATAAATGGTAACATTTAAATATTTAATTATATTATAATATTAAAAATTTGAATTTCATATATTGTAATCTTTAAGAATCAGTAAACGGGTCTTGATGAAACAATTGAAGTGTATAATGAAATCATCAAATCGTAGATGAACAAAATAAAAAAAATCCACAAATGAAACAGTTTTCATGAACGTGAAACTGGTTCATGTTGCAAATAAATTATGTGAACCGAAACATTTTCATGGTGAACCCGTTGCATTGATTGTGTAGTTGATCMATTTAGTTRGTGAAGAGGAAAATGAAACCGGTGCATTTTGTATTTGGTGCGTCATGAACTAAGTGCATGATGAAACGAGGAAATGATTTTAATCTACTACAGAATCTTGAAGATTGTAACCTGCTCCAGAATCTTGAAGTTTGTAAGGCTTAAATGAATGAATCCATCAAATCAGTGGTGAAATAAGAAAATTATTGTACATGAAATAGGTTTCATGAAAGTGAAACTGGTTCATGGCGTTATTGAGCATGACTAGTGAAACGGTTGCATAATGTATTTGGTTCGCCATGAAATAATTGCATGATGAAACGGGTACATGAAGAAACTGCTTCAGAATCTTGAAGATTGTAATATGCTTTAGAATCTTTAAGATTGTAAGGCTTAAATGAATTAATGTATCAAACAGGGAGCGAAAGAAAGAAAATAATTTTGCATGAAAAAATATTCATAAAAGTAAACTAATCTCGGAAGAAAATAATTTTGCATGAAAAAAGATTAATGAAAGTAAACTAATCTTGAAAGAAAATAATTTTGCATGAAAAAAGATTCATGAAAGATCGAGTAGGATGTTACCAAATATTAAATTTTGTTTACCATTTATGCCCTTACTGTTGAAATAAAATAAATTTCTAATATATATATTTTTTTAATTTCCTAAAATAAAGTAAACTAATCTTGGTCATTGATCAAGAAAATGGATGAATGAGATTGGTTTACACAAATGGGGTCGGTTTTTATTTGAACGATCAATATATATATATATATATATATATATATATATATATATATATGATTGGTTGAAATGGGTTTGTAAAGTAAACACTATTTAAATGGTTTATTTGATATGATGAGAATGGTAAGAAGGGATCTTCACCATTGGATTAGTCCTAATTGAATATCAATTGAAAATTCTCGTCTAAAGCTAATTCATGGGTTGTTTTGGGATTTAATAACTAGATCAACACTAATTAAAATTAATCAATGATTCAAATCACTTCTTATACTTCACATGTTAACTTCTATTCTCACATGATTCTTCATCTTCTACTATCATATACAATTTTTTTTAGAAGTATGAAACTAAGTAAAATGACCAAATTGGCCCTGTGTTAAATCACTTAACATAATCTTTTCTAATAAAATTACGTTTATAATTTCTAATATCATTATTAATTTCTAATGACTGTTCAAGCAAGAGAGTATTAGAGCGTCAGAGCGAGAGTCGGAATTCAGAAATGAGAGCGAGAGAGTATATATGTTCCCGTTCGTGAAGTCTGAAACAAATAAGAAACGGTCGAATCATATGTGATTTTAAACTAACATTATGTACAAAATTACATGTGATTCACACGACTTTGCCCTGCGACCTAAAGACGTGGCCAAAATCGTCTGCACATCTTTTTTTACCGTTAATATACGTGATTTTGACCGTTTTCATATTCTCTTACATAATTAGCATTATGGTTTGATTATTCCTAATCCATTGTAACTTGTACATTTATCTGGATTTGTTATTTTTAGGATTGGCAATTGGTGGTCTCTCAACCTCTCACGTAAGAACACGTGTCCTCTCAAAAACAGATTTTGCATCCTCCTCTTCCCGCGCACAAATCATGTGGAAGGGCTATGAGGTTCTCATTTACCTCCAAATCCAACATCGTTTTCTCTCTCTGTAATCTCGAGTTTATCGTTGCAGATCAACGCAGAAGAAGATATATCATCATCACCAAAAAAAATCATAATTTCAGGTGATTACTTTCATTATCTTCAATCGGAACTCTGTTTTCTCTCCGTAATTCTTCATGTTCAATTTTAAGTTTCGATTTCTCAATATGCGTAATGTCGTGAAACTCGATTTCTCTCTGTAATTCTTCATGTTTGATTTTTTTTCATATGCGTAATGTTGTGAAACTCTGTTTCTCTCTGTAATTTTGCATGTTCAACTTGATTTTGAGTTTTGATTTCTCTACATGCGTAATGTGGTAATATTACAGCTTTAGTTTGAATCGATTTAAAATTTCGGATTAAAGTTTGTATAATGTATACATGGTAGGAATGTTGAACGAAATCATAACATTTTTGGTACCTGAGATTTGGATACGTGTGAGGCTTTTCCTGAAACTCCAGCTTTGATTTGAGTTATTTGAAATCATTATTAGATTAACATTTTACATAATATACCTGGAACCTGATGTTCAATGAATTTCTTAATGTTTTTGAGGATTGGTGTAGGTTGGGATGTTTGTGTTTGGACGTTTTCTGAAATCCAGTTTTGCTGTGTCCTTTTTTCTAAGATTTTATCTTTGGTTTATTTTTGTTTTTATTCTTCAGATTAATTCTTGCATGATATATACGTACTGTGAATGTTCAATCAAATCCATCATATGTTTATAGGGTGCGTTTGAGAGTGTTTTCTAAAATTCCAATTTTGATGTTCCCGCATGTATGTATGCATTTTCTATAACTCTATCTTTGATTTGAATTTTTTTGAAATATTGATGAACTTTTTCAAGACTTCAAAACTTTAAAAAGTGTCCGAAGATCCCAGGTTCGAATCCGAGTGGAATAGAAAATCCCCGGTGGTCATGAAGGTTCAAATACGATGACTCCAGGCTACTTATAAAATAAATAGTCACTTTAAGATTAGTTAGCTCGCATAACAGATTGGATATCCAGGTTATAAAAAAAACATGAAATTTAAAGTGGTGTCACACAATAATACCAAATAAAATAAATATTTATTTTCCCATATTCTCAAAATCTTACAAGTTGCATCCTTATACTTTGAATATTTATCATTTATGGTTTCACCCAATATCAACCTATGGTTGTAGCTTTGAGCATATTAATTTCTTTTACATTTTGTGGAACCAGAACCAAGGAACTGGTTCATGAGATGAGGGGTGGACCTACATCGAAGGATATGGTGGCACAGGCCATCGATTAATGGATTCGTCGTAAAGAGAAAAACTATATATTTAGAGGGTGTCTTTGTATTTTTTTGTTAGGTGCCACGAGATAGTTTTTGAAACTGAAATATTAATCCAAAACTTCAATTACAAAGATAGTAAATGTTCTTGCCTTGTACAAAAGGCCCAGGTTTGAGTCCTACCATTGTCAAATTTGTTGTTTTTTTATATACCTCTTGTGTTTTTAGAAATATAGGTAAATGAGACTCGAACATGGGTCTCTTCTATGCAAGAAACCAAACAAAAGATCTATACTTACATTGTGGAAAAAAATAGATTTTTTTTATAGTTAAATTGTGTCACCTCTGCATGAGATACCACTACCAAAAGACAGGTCCGCCCTAGAACGAGATTTGAGGTTGATGGTATTGTACTCAAGTATAGTCTGAATTTTCCCTTTTGGTTCTTTTTATTTGAGTGTGTTTTTTATAGCTTTAGCTTTGACTTAATTGTTCTAATATTGTCTTAATATGATGGTATTGTACTCCAAGTGCTTTTTCTTTGTAATTTTTAGCCTAAAATTGTTACAAATTTTGACTAGTTTCTGAAATGTTGTCTTTGTTGTTGTTGGATGTGTTTATTGTGTCGTAAGGGAAGAGAATGAAGAGGTAGAGAGAGAAGGAGAAATATGGAAGAAGGCGGCGTGGGAAAAAACACCGGAAAGCCGATGGTATCATCGTCTTCCCGTGGTGTTAATTATTCCGGACCACAAGGGCTGGCGAGGAGACCTTCACGAAACGCCGCCACAACCACCTTCTCCATGGAGGTTTTCGATAACGAGGTGGTCCCCTCGTCCCTCCAACAAATTTCTCCAATCCTTCGTGTTGCAACCGAGATTCAACATGACCGGCCCCGGGTTGCTTATCTTTGTAATTCCTTCTCTCTCATTTTTATAATTCATTGCAAATATGACGTTAAAAATGTCTAAATGTCCTAATAAACTTTTTTATATGACCAAATAATAAATGTCTTGTTTAAAAGTGTTATAATAAGTTTATCATACACATTTGGACGTCTTAACATTTACTTACAACGTTTTAGAAATTAAGTGTCGTATTTGGTATTTTATCGGGTATTTTTGAAAAAGTATCCTATGAACACATTTTTGTTTTTATAGGATATTTTTTCCCTTCAAGACAAATAGTTAATATGACAATATTTTTTTTTAAATGTCCTAAAAAACTTGTTAGACGTTTAAAAACGTCTTATAAACTTACTGGAACACTTTTAGATAAATCATTTTATTGTCTGATCATATAAACTTAATTTTTATAAAATAGTCTATTATGATACTTAGGGGCCGTTTACTAAATACTTACCTAGTAAGTGCTTACCGGATAAATTTCTTTATCGGATGAACATAAGAAGGGCCAATAATCTTACAGGGTAAGAGCCATGAAAAGGATAGAGAGTCTTACCCGGTAAGTAAGGATGACGACTCTTACCCAGGTAAACACTTACCCAGTAACTTGTTGCATTTGATATGTTTTGATTTACTAAAATATTACGTATCAAAATAAATTATAATGTTGAATCCTATCGGTAAGTACTTACCGGGTAAGCATTTGGGTAAACGACCCCCAAGTCATTTATGATGTTCTATAAATCAGATTTTGTTGTAGTAAATGCTGCTTATTGATGAACTAATTTTTATTGTTATTGTGTATGAAAAAAGGTCGGTTTTATGCATTTGAGAAAGCCAATAGGTTAGATCGAAACTCTAGCGGTCGTGGTGTTCGACAATTTAAAACTTCGCTACTACAACGTTTAGAGAGAGTATGCCTTTTTTCCCTTTTCAGTTCTTTAACCAACTTTTCTGCTATATAATAGGCTAAGGATAGGTTTATGTGGGAATATATAAATATTTTAAGAATCCAAGAACCACTAATTTTGTGAGTATTTATAATGAATATTTTATCATGAATATATGTCACAACATTTATAATGAATATTTTATCATGTATCAATCATGGATACTCACAAAAACAATAGTTCATCGGTTCTTAAAATATTTAAGATTTATAAATCTGATATCCCATCACTTGTTCTTGAATCATTATCTAATTTTAAAATCTTGCCAAATTACAACATTTGAATTTAAGACAGAGAAAACACTTTGCTATCAGCTTAAACATATTTTTACAATTGTGTTTAAAATTACAGTAGTAAACAAGATCAAGTTAAAACTTACAACTTAAAATGTGATTTTTCCTTGTTATACGAGGAAAGTTCACTTAGAAACCCAAAGTTGGTTGGGAATTCGAAAACCATTTACAACCTGACATGTGTTCCTCTTTAAGATGATATTTTTCATAAATAACATATTTATGATAAATATAAAAAATGTTGTTAATCATAAAATATACGTTTATGATGAATAACATGTCCATCACATATCGTGTTGTGAATGATTGTTAGGTTTCTAATCAATTTTAGGTCCAGAATGAAACCCACCTTTTAACAATACTATATGTATTAAATACAAGCTTGAACACAAAAATTGAAACAAAATAAAACTAAAATTATACTTATAAAATATTTCACTATTAAAATCGAACCCATAATCCTAATATTATTATTTTTTATTTTAATAAAATTATATAATTATTTTAAGCAAATAATAATATAACTTTAAAATATATAATAAATATTCATGTAAATCCTAATCGTAGTACTTTGTTTTGAAGGAAAATCGTAGTACTTAAATTCTATACGTATTATAAATATTTTAGACATTAACTAGAAGGATATTTGCACAATATACATCTAGATTCTAGTGTTTCGTTTTTTGTTGTCTTAGTTGATGTTATAATACGTTTTTATGTGATTTTGAGAAAAAAAACAATGTTTTTATTTTTGAATAAATATAAATATGGAGATATATCATAAAAAATAAAAAAATATTGATATTAGGTATCAAACTAATTATTTAAAATTTCTCGTTTTTTGTGTATTTCTTTAATCCATTTTTTTTATTTTTGGTTTAATAATATATTTTTTATAAAGACAATAATTAAATACTTATGTTATAATTCAATGATTATCTTAATTATATTTTAGTTTTTTTATATTTAAAATGAAATGTTTATCCTATATTTGATTATGTTTATCTGAAGTTAGTTACACGAATTCAAACATGAAACTTTAATAAGTTGTACTTACGTACAGTTTACTTGTAATCTTGAATTTTAAATAATATACATCAATAAATAATACTTCATGCATAAAAATGATTTTTAAAAGTTTTTGTCAAATTTTTTATAATATAAGATAGATATTAATTATGATTTTTCTTAATAAAGTTTCGCGGGAAACACCGTTATGCCTTGCAACTACAGTTGTCACTTTCTTTGAATTGAATAAATTACGTTTTTCATCCACATGACCACATGGTTTACTAAAAGTTACGACTTTAGTTCCTGTAGTTTTGAAATTACAGTTTTAGTCCTTATCGTTTACAATTACTTGCTATTTACTGTCCAATCCAATTCAGTTGCTCACGATACTTACCATAGAGTCCAATTGGGGATTAGGGTTCATCAGCATCTAGGCTAAATTTGTAGTTACACCCTGAATTATTTGACTGTTCGGCTCTTGGGGAAGAATTTACCTTCCTAAATTTTGGTGTAACTTGAAACATTCAATTCTACTTTTGTAAATCATATCTGATCCTTCCAATAACAAATGCCTTGAGTTATCGAAGCTAAATCAACTGAAATTGGGGATGCGGTTCATCAGGATGATGCCCCAAGTGTTGCTGCTCGTGTCAAAAAGACGGATGCAAGGGAAATTGAGAGCTTCTACAAACAATATTATGAAAAATATGTCAAGGCACTCGATCAAGGAGAAAAAGCAGATAGGTAAATTAGTCAGGCATTGATCTATGTGATTTTGTTTATGGAAGAACAATAAAAGGAAAAAAGAAATTATATAGAGAATGAAAAATTGATTCACATCTTCTGGTTGCCAGAGCCCAACTTGGAAAAGCTTACCAGGTGGCTGGGGTGCTTTTTGAAGTTCTCTGCGCTGTTAACAAATCTGAAAAGGCTGAAGAAGTTCCTGCTGATGTCAGCTCCCGCCTTCACATTATCATTTATTGTTATACCCATTCCCATTTCCTTTGGTGTTTACCCTTCTCCAATCGCACCGCAGAAACCCAAATTTGGTGTTTACCCTTCTCCAATCGCGTTGCAAACCACAATAAATTTGCCTCTCATAGAGAGAGAAAGTGAGGCGACATCCATAATTTGGGGGGGGGGGGGGTGCTATTTACACGGCAAATTTTGGGTAAAAACCCTTGACCCACTGATTATTATGATTTTGATATTTATTTAATTCTTAAATATCATTCTTTTAAATAAAATATATTATTTTACATGGGTCCTCTAATATAGTGTTTTTTAGAGTGTTGTTAAAGTTTTTTTTTTTTTTTTTAAAAATGTGTTTAAATTGATAATTTCTATTATTAAGAATCAACCATTCAACTAATGTTTCAAACAGTTATATTTTTTTTTTTTTTGATGTTAACGGGCCCACCAGAATTGGTACTTTTGGTGTTTCTTTGGTGTTGGAGATGGTCTTAAAACGAACCAAGCACCCTCTAAGTTAGTTATGCCACAGTTTTATTCATTAGTTGGTGTATCTGATCTTTGTAAACATAGATCATAGCATCAGCTAGAGATGTTGAGGCAAAGCAGGTTATCTATGCACCCTACAACATTCTACCCCTTGATTCTGCTGGGGAATCACAATGCATCATGCAGTTTGAAGAGGTACCCTGCCTTCCATTCACTTTGATTCTCAAAAGGGAAAATTTTATGTTTATTTATTTGTAATGTTAGAATATGTGGAACCCTATTAGATTAATATCCAAAAGAGTGAGCCTTCCAATGAAGGTGAGACGTACACAGTTTGTCCCAGAGTACAGTTGACCTTGGTTCAAATACCGGCCCTGTTACTATGTGAAAATATTTGAAACACCTAAATTACTGTCCAAAAGATCATTTGAAAAGAGAAGTGAGGTTCCAAGGAGAAATAGCACAAGTCTGTCTAGCTGAAGTGGGACTGTTAACAATTTGTCTGTATTTGTGATACACAGATTAAGGCACCAGTGTCTGCTCTCAGGAACACACGTGGCTTAAATTGGCCAACCTCTGTTGATCAGAACCAACAGAAATCAGGAGAATTGGATCTTCTTGATTGGCTAAAGGCAATGTTTGGGTTTCAGGCAAGTAGTGGCTGTTTGGATATTAGGTTTACTGACTGGTTTATTTGTCTTATTGCATGTTTTACTTTATGTTTCCAGAAAGACAATGTCAGGAATCAGAGGGAACATTTGATCTTGCAACTTGCCCATCCTCAAGCAAGGCTGATGCCTAAGCCTGAGCCGAGTAACAAGGCATGCACCTCATGTAAAACCTACTTTTATCTATTTTTAAAGAACCTTACTCTTATACTGGTTTATGTATTTTCTATGATTTTTTTTGGAAGCTTGTTTCCCATGATAGATTATATTTCTGAGTTTCCATTTAACAACCAATCAAATCAAATGATTTTCTTTATTTATACCCCTTTAACTTAGGACCACTTCGTGAGTTTTAGAGAATCTCTAATGGAGTGACTAATAAGAACCCACTTTTTCTTGCCACATCATTGCCAACTCAACAAACTAAGAACCTTCATAAACCTCTACTATGGTAGTCACTTAAAAGAACCTCCTTTTTGTAGGTCCCATCTATCTTTTTATGTGGATATATAAGATAAAAGTATAGAACAACACTAATAACATAATATTTTACACAGTAATCGAGTAAGAACCAAGGTTCTTGTACAAGAACTCAAAACATGTTGGTGACTTATAAGAACTCTCCTCTATGGTAGTGACTCGTAAGAACTACACTTTCTGTTTAGAAGTAATGTCATGGCCTGTGGTGTCCAAATTCATCGGGAACATTCTTATTCCTTTATAGACTATCATCAAGTTTAACTTGTCTTGAATTCTTCCTTTTTTTCATTTGTTTAGCACAAGGGTAGCCTTTTAACAATTGCCTTCTAAAAATTGTGGTGCAGCTTGATGATCGAGCTATTGATGTGGTTATGAACAAGCTATTCAAAAACTATAAGAACTGGTGCAAGTTCTTGAGAAGAAAACACAGTTTAAGGTGAGTTACTGTGACACCCTGTTACCAGCCTCCGGTTACCTGTCAAAAACATCACTTAACAAGAGCACATTTACCAACAACATCCTCACTAAAAACTTTCTGAACCATTCCTAAAATCTGACACTTATGTACCATATATGCAGCAGAATATACACTTTTATAATAACTATTCTTAACTGAACATGAACAAGATCTTACCGATAACTTATGGACATACATCATATTTTTCATCTATACTCATACTCTTACAAGTTTGTACAGATAAACAAAGGCTTTATCTGACTTGCTTATATTTTTTGATCTTGTCATTTACACTCTTTCTTTACCTTTGCTATCCGCGTTGGGAAAATGCATTTGTGCACACGCTTTAGCTATATAGTGCAATGAGTTCATGGTTTTATATATTGTAATTTTTCATGGTACTTGATAGTTGTGTGCATGTAATTTTTCTTTTTTGTGCTCTATAGGTTTACTAAAGCCGGTGCTTTGCAGGCTTCCTCAAGGACGCGAGGAGATGCAGCAGAGGAAGCTGCTCTACATGGGACTTTATCTTCTTATCTGGGGAGAGGCTGCTAATGTACGCTTTATACCAGAGTGTCTGTGCTACATCTTTCACAACGTAAGTATTTCATATGTTTATTACAGTTCTATAGCGACATGTGCCAATAAATTACATGCATAAAATTGAAATTTGGCTATACATTTCATTACCATATCATTCTACCCATTCAGATGGCATGTGAACTCCATAGCTTGTTGGCCGGAAATGTCAGCATTGTGACTGGAGAAAATGTCAAGCCTTCTTATGGCGGGGATGATGAAGCCTTCCTTTGCAAAGTCATAACTCCAATTTATCGAGTCATAGACAAGGTACTCCTGCTGCAACCTCATGCACATATACTCAAACTTGACGTCTTGTTTTTAAGAATTAGTAATGATGCTTATTTTAATGATCAAGGAAACCAAGAGAAGCAAAAACGGGAAGGCCCCCCACTCTGCTTGGTGCAATTACGATGATCTTAATGAATATTTCTGGTACAGTCTTGAAAGAATTAGTGACAGAAAATATGGTCTTGAACCTCAGAATATCTCAGATTAAAAAAAATTCGTTGATATTATAGGTCACCAGATTGTTTTGCTTTGGGTTGGCCGATGCGTGATGATGGCGATTTTTTTAAATCGACACGTGACATGGCACAAGTTCTCCTCTACTCTATAAATATTAGCGATTTCAACTTATTAAAGGATTTCTTTTTTAAATATATAAACGTAATGGCAGGGAAAACAACCATCTCAAAAGGCTGGTAGCCTTGGGAAATTATATTTTGTTGAGACACGATCATTTTGGAATACATTCCGAAGTTTTGACCGTTTGTGGACATTCTTCATACTAGCTCTTCAGGTAAGAAGCAGATAAAGATGCAGTTCACATGCCTGCAAATTACATGTTTACATTTTCTGCAACTTATGTTGGACTGTTCAATTGCAGATTATGATTATCATTGCATGGAGTGATGTTTCAATATCGGGTGTTTTTGAGAAGCAGATGTTATATAATCTATCCAGTATTTTCATTACAGCAGCATTTCTCCGCTTATTCCAAAGTATGTTCTGTTTTCTTGAACTTTTGTGGATATTGGTTCACTATATGCTGATAATCACTTCTATTGTTATTATTCTTTTTCATCTTTTCATCTACTAATGAGAGAAATGAAAACTTAGTTTTTCGGCAGTTCGGTAAGATTGCTTTTCTTGACATGTGATCTTGTCAAAAGCGTAAAGCTTCAGCCTCTCATTAAACATATGTTTGTGTGTTGAGATAGAGAAGTTCCTTTTCTCAACACTTATCTAAACAAAATAGTAATAATATTTTTTGATTCTTTGATCCCATTACCAAACTGGGCATGAATGTCTTAAATGTCCTTGATAATAATCAAAGACGAGTCAGGAGGGGTTAGTAGGTGCGGTCGTTGCCCTTCAAAATTTTTAAGTTAAAGAGAGGTAAAAATTCTAGTTTAAAGTCAGAACTTAATAGAATTTCATCCCAAAATAAAAATTATAATCAATTTGCAAGGCACTGTTTGCTTATTCTCCTCCCACGACGTGCCTAGCTATTACATTCCGACTTGTTACGACTTCACTCCAGTCACTTGCCCTGCCTTCGGTTCATAAATGGTTCAGAATATTCCAAAGATTTCCATCCTTTTTTCGGTCTGATTCAGAAACTTTATTTCATTGGTCTTTCTCGTCTCGCGTTGCCCATGGGAGCGGACTAGCCCCGGCTTCCATAGGTCCTTGGTTCGACCTCTTCTTTTTAGATTTATCTGGCTCTACTACTATTTAAAGTGATACCATTAACAACTCCATGCAAATATTTACTTACCTTGCATTTCTTTATATTGCCCCTTCTTTTATGTTGTTGTTTTTGCTAATAATAATTCTCAACACTAACTAAAACTTTAGTGGAGAATTCACTGATGAGTGATGACAATGTAAATTGACCAATATGCTGATTAAATTTGCACTAGATCGTTGTTAGTTCAACAACTTTATGTAGGGTGTGTCTTCTTTATTCGGTACAATGTCCGGAATAGAGAGAGAAAGAAGCATCATTAGATATGAGAAATGGAGATTGCTCATTTGAATATGCTTTCATATACATATCTAGCCTTTTGAAATAGCCTCCCTGAGAAAGAAGTGCTAGCTAGCAGATTGAAGAAAACAATCTACAAACTCCAAATCTGTTAAAATCTCCCTTGGAATGTTAGGTTTTGAACAAAACATAAACCAAATGTTTATTCATAGCTAATTAACTATTACAATACAAAAAGAAATACAAGAACCTTAGGTCTAACACAAATGTTAACCAAAATGATTTAACAAGAAAGAAATATTAAAGTGTTTGAGAGAGAAAGAGATCTGTGAATATATAGAGTTGAAGAAAAACGATACTCAGCCGTAAGCTAGACCTAATAGCAAGCATATATATAGGGGCCTAATCAAATGAGAACTTATTAGTTTGTGGTAACTGTGAGGTCCAATCTCAACCACAAATCAATAGATAAATTAGGAAATTTATAATTTTGGTAATTTTTAATTAAAATTTCAATGCAAGAGTATTTTAGGTATTTTATCTCCTCTCTCCTCTCTTCTCTCTTCGTCCCTCGGCCTCCGACCACCGTCCTCCGGCCACCGTCCTCCGGTGATACCACAGTGGTATCACAATGCATCATATATGTGATTGGGTATCACACTGTGGTCGTTTGTACGGTCGATCGGATATGTAACATAGTGGTATCACAATGCATCTTATATGTGCTTGAGTATCACACTGTGGTATCACCGGAGGATGGTGGCCGGAGGCCGGAGGACGGTGGTCGGAAAACGGGGACTGAGAGAGAATAGAGGAAAGAAAATACCTAAAATATCCTTGCATTAAAATTTTAATTAAAAATTACCAAAATTATAAATTTCCTAATTTATCTATTGATTTGTGGTTGAGATTGGATCTCACGGTTACCACAAACTAACCAGTTCTCCCTTGAATGGGCCCATATATATATATAAGTTCAATAATTGCAAGTTTGGTCCTCCAGTAATGACTCCGCTACCCTTGAAGATTTGAAGAATGTGAGGCGTTGTCCCTTGCATCAAAACAACAACTTTCTCTTTATTACACCTTTAGCCCTTTATGTTTATATCTGACAAAAGTAAAGATTGCATTAGAAAAGTAATATCTTTCAACATCCTTCCTCAATCTTGACTTTTGAACAAGTCAATCATCCTTAACTTAGAACACAAGTAGTTATGATGATTAACCCCAAGAGCCTAAGTAAAAATGTCAGCAGGTTGCTCGGAGGAGAGAATTTTTACAACTTTAATTAAACCTTTACTAATTGTTTCACGAATTTGATGAACATCAATTTCAATGTGTTTAGTTCTTTCGTGAAAAACAGGATTGTTAGCTATTTGAATAGCAGATTTATTATCACAATATAAAGATATAGGTAACAAAGTTGAAAAATTAAGATCAGAAAGAACTTTCAAAACCCATAAGACTTCACATGTAGCTGAAGCCATAGCTCTATATCCAGATTCGGCTGAGGACCTAGAAACAGTGCTTTGTTTCTTACTCTTCCATGAAATCATAGAGTTACCCAAATATAAGCAAAAACCTGTCACAGTTCTTCTAGATGATAAACATTTACCCAGTCAGCATCAAGATAAGTAGTTAAGGAAAAAATTTATGCTCTAACACCTTTACCTAGTGACAGCTTCAAATACCTAAGAATTTTTAGACCAAGTTTTAAGTGAGACTGTCTAGGTGATTGCATAAACTGGCTTAAACAGTGAACAACAAAGGCAATATCTGATCTAGTGGCAAGCAAATATATTAGTCTTCCAATGAGTCTTTGGTAACCGTTTTGATCAGTTAAAGGAAGATCTTTACAATTACTTGAATTAGTAACAATTAGGTTCATATCCATGGGAGTATTGCAAGGTTTACACCCTAAATACCCAAAATCATTAAGTAATTCTAAACAGTATTTCCTTTGAGACATACAAATACTGTTATGATTCTCTAATATTTCTATTCCCAAAAAGAATTTTAGTTTCTCTAAATCTTTTATGAGAAATTTGCTTTTTAAAAACACTTTTACCTGTTCAATTTCAGATTCATTGCTTCGAGTAATAACAATATCATCAACATATACTAAAAGAATAATAAACACAAATTTAACTTTCTTGGTAAACAGGGAGTAATCATTTATGCTTTGTGTAAAACCATGTTCAATTAAACATGAAGACAACTTGGCATACCATTGACGAAGTGCTTGTTTTTGGCCATATAAAGATTTAACTAATTTGCACACTTGTTTATCACTGTAATTATAATACCCTTCAGGCAATGTCATGTAGACTTCTTCTTTTAGGTCTCCATACAAGAAAGATTGTTTGCATCTAATTGATACAAATTCCATTTATTTTGAACAACTAAGGATATATACACCTAACAGTTACCATTTTTACTACAGGAGAGAAGGTTTCTTCATAATCTAAACCTTCTGTTTGACTGTATCCTTTAGCATCTAATCTAGCTTTGTATCTTTCAATTTCCCCAGTGATTTATACTTTATTTTATATATCCACTTGCAACCTATGGGTTTTCTACCCTGAGGTAGGTCATTTATAATCCAAGTACCATTTCTATGTAAAGCCTCCATTTCATTATTCATGGCACTAACCCAATTCATATATTTACAAGCTTCTTGAAAAAATTTAGGCTCTACAGACTTATTTAAACTAGATACAAAACAAAAAAATTAAGAAAGAGTAATTAACAACCTTTTCCAACCCATATTTTACTTTTCCTTCAATTATAAAATCATCAAATTTGTGTGGAAACACTGAAACTCTAGTTGATTTTCTAGTATGTTGACTAGATGATGGTATACTAGAGTTACCCTTAGAATTGAGACTAGCAGAAGGATTTTCATCATGAGGCTGATTATTGGCAGCCTCATCAGAGCTACTCAAGAGTTGCCATCTGGTAACTCTTTGATTGTTATATTCAACTTGAGTTAAATAATCTTGATTGATTAACTCATTGGAGCTGCCTAGAGGCTCCTCATTGGCAGCTCTAGTTGGGCTACCTAGTAATCTATGGTTATTAGGGTCAGTTCCCAGCTGATATGTAGATCTATCAGCTGAATAGTCTCCATTATCATCATAGGGTATGGCATCCACAAACTCATTAAATGAACTATGAAAAAGATTTAATCTGTTAATATCATCATACTTAGATTCATCAACCTTGTTAACTCTCATCTTGAAAGGAAAGATGTTTTCATAGAATTTGACATCACGAGAAATAATACACCTTTTGGATTCCAAACTGAAAAGTTTGTAACTCTTTTTTGAACTAGCATATCCTAACATCACACATTTTTCAGATTTTGGAGAAAACTTATCTGTAACATTAGGTATGACAGCAAAACTAAGACATCCAAAGTTTTTAAGATGAGTGAGAACAGGTTGGAACCTATAGACTAATTCATAAGGGCACTTACCATTTAACACAAAAGTGGGAGCTCTATTTATCAAGTATGTGGCAGTAAGAATGCATCATTCCACATATTTAGGGGGACTCTTCCCTGAAACATGAGAGCCCTAGCCACCTTTAGAAGATGACGATGTTTACGTTCAACCACCCCATTTTGCTAAGGAGTATATACACAGGATGTTTGACGTAAAATTCCTTTACTTTTAAAAAACTCACTTAGTTTTTAACTCATAAACTCATATCCATTATCACTTCTAAATATTTTGACACCTTTTCCAAACTGGGTACTAATTAGATTATAAAAAACAAAAATGTTTTCTTCGACTTCATGCTTGGCTTTTAATAAAAACACCCAAACAGCCTTGGTATAATCATCAACCACAGTAAGGAAATACTTATAGCCCTCCCTACTTTGAACATGATAAGGACCCAGACATCTAAGTGAACAAGGTCGCCTAAGTCCTTGGATTTATGAACACTGGACTCAAATTTTTCCCTAGTTTCCTTACAGTCAAGATTATCAATTTTAAGTTCAGTTTT